GGGCATTAAATCTCGTATGCGCTCCTGACTCAGACGCGCTCTCATCGAGATCGAGTCCAACTGCACCCCAAGGTACACGATTGATTGGCTCGGGCGTAACATGCTTTTTTGTTTGTTTTTTTGCGTCCTTCAGGTCCACTGAAATAAACCAATCTCAGGGTCGAATCTGCGCGAGTATCAGCTTTAGCGTTATCATTTTGAAAGCTTGTTTGTATAATGCACGGTTGATGGGTCTCAGGTCTAAGATTGGAAGGAGACCACCATCTTTCTTTGGAACGACAAAGTACCGGCTGCAAAACCCGCTCTCTCTTTCACTCAGCGGGACCACTTCTATCGCGCGTTTCGCGAGGAGATTGAGAATTTCTTGCCTCAGCACCGAGATCGCCTCTCCCGAGGCGGCTTACGCTTTGTCCGCAACATGTGCGGTCAGATGGCAGGGCCTTGAAGGCAGCGTAGCACCTGCCTTCAGGGAGGCAAAGGAGGGGCAGAGGTGTGTGGCGATGGATTCCTTGACTGGCAGAATGCACGTATATCCTCGGGCTTCCGCCCCGTCAACTCTAGTGAAGATCTCTGACCCACCAGCGTGAGTGTGAGCCGATTGGGGCGCAGCCCACGCCTTAGCGATCTCGTCGTGCAAGTCAGGGATGAATGGGGCTCGCTTCCTCGGAGCGGCAACTCGGCAGCCCGACTGAAGGAACCACGAATCCAGCTTGCCCTTAGCTGGTTCATCAGGGGATTCCCACTATAGACCGAGATCACTCACGACCCTGGTGAGAATCGGGACGAGCTCATCCTGGAACGCGGCGTGTCCCTCCACTTCAGAGCGCTCCTCTGGAGTGCGGGCCCAGTCCTTCTCAGATGCCTCGTCAAGATCGTCATCGTCCCCCGCCGCACCGAACTAGATAATCTCCGAAGCGCCAGAGGCAGGTTGAAGACTCTCTTCCGCAAAGCACACCGGAGAGCAGGGGGGTGAATTGTGCCTTTCTGCGCGGTCGCCCACGTGCGGCCTCCGTCCCACCAGCCGCTGGCGGTGGTGGGACATTGCCGAGAGAAATCACAGAGGGCAATGTTCCTCCGGGCCCTAAGCACCCGCAATGAGAATTCCTCACAGTGCGGGCAGCCCGACCCGGTGAGTGCTGCCTCCGCATGGGCGAGACCCAGGCACCAGATGCAGAACTCGTGAGTGTCCGGGGCCTCGATGGGTCCCGAACACAGCGTGCAAATGTTGGACATGCTGGAACGCCGAGAGGGAAATCCGTCTTCCTGCATCTTCTCCACAGCTGTCTTCGGTAGAATGTGTGAAAGAGGAAGATTCTGAACTTATGCCGCCAATACGGCGCATTATATAGTGGCAGGGGCCCTGCCCCTACTCGCCGTCTTGGCTGGCATTGGCCAGTGAGAGTTGCAACTTCACTGGCGTTGTGCAATAAGATTTCAGGTAGGTTAGGAAGGAAGGGAGTCCCCAAGGCGTTAACACCATGTCAAGAGACCGTTCTCGAGAGGGAACAGCATTTATTTGAAATTAAATTTTTGTAACAAATGTCTTTACTGTCACTTTTGATCAAATGACTGCATCATTGCTGTATGAAAGTACTAATTTCTTTCATTTTTTAAAATCTTACCTCACATTTTTGAACAATAGTGTATTTCACAACCTTCAATATATAGGCTATATTATACTTCTCCTGTGTCAAAAGTCACGAGATTGGTTTTACCTGTCTGAACGCCTCTCCATCGCCCTTGCCAGCCTGTTGAGCGATTAGGGCGATCTTTCTTGCTTTATCCGCCCGACGGTGAACCTTAATCAGACAGGACAGCAGACACACCAACAGCAGGAACGCCAGCAAGGACAGCAAGGAGATGATCGCCACATACAGCTGTGGCAGCTTATAGGCTGTTATGCGAGAAAAGAGGATCATGGGTATGGGAAATAGACCTCAGTGTGAAAGTTATTAAAGTCTGATCCAAACTCAATCAACAGTAGCTTCTCAAATTCTCTACTCACGCTCCACGTGAAGGTAGACGTCAGCTATGCGGAAGCCAGAAAAGTCCATCACTCGAAAGACACCCATGTCACGGACTTTGACCTTCTTCAGGTAGAACATGGATCCTTCAACAGATGCTCGACCCTCAAGAGCAGAGTCGACAGGTACCGTCATCTCCCCCTGGTCCATGATGAGTCGTTCCTTGTGGTCAGTGTCTGGGATGTAGACCATTTTGACTTTGGTGTGGTCCACATGAAGCTTGATCTTCAAGGTTTCACCATAATTCAAGTGCTCAAAGATCTGGTGGTCTGTGATATGGAGAAAAAAAAGGTTATACACAGATTTGTTTGGTTTTTTTGCCAATTGCTTGCATTTTTTTGTGACGCGTCCTTGTGTTCTTTGAAAGGCGCTATAAAAATCAAACATATTATTATTATTATTATTATTATTGAATGTTGAATTAATGCACCAAATTCCTATGTACCTGCAAACAACCAACAGTAATACTAATGAATTATAATACTTGGCAGAATTTACAGATTATTATTTAGATTTTTAATAATATTAATAATAATACATAATATAATTTTGTTCTATTATTATGTAATATATAATATTACATATACACAATTTAATAATATTATATATACACAATTTATAATTAATATCATATACAACTAATATATGAAAATATATTTAGAATATTATATATTATATACATGTTTATGCACACACACACAGACCAAATTCCTATGCACCAGCAAAGAGCCAACAGTAATACTAATAAATTATAATACTTGACAGAATTATTCATATTAATATACTGTTAATAATATTATTAATAATTTTAATTATTAATATAATATAATATAATATATGTTTTTAGTTATTATTACTATTGGTAATAATAAGTATTTATTAAACACTGGCGTCTTTTTATTACCTATGTTGAAAACAAAAATAATTGCAATTCAAAGACTCATGGTTTATTCCTTCAATAACCAGCTTACTTTACTTTAATTGTAAGACTCAAGAAATATTAAGATTTAGAAACACTAGCATGTCAATACTGTATCACCACCTTTGCGCTAGTACTCAACATCGGTTTATTCAGCTTTGTTTTAGAGTTGATTTTAGATTTATCCTGCCAAAATGTCACATAAAATTGAGGTTTTCACTTTATATGATCATATGGTCTTTTTCAGTATAAGTGGATGGTTCTTGGTCAGAATAAGCTGCAATGTGGACCAAAATTAATACTGATAGTCTAAAGTCTGACTATGTGAGTCTACGTAGATCACGTGTCCTATTGTTTGATCCTCTATTCTCTGTCTTTCCTTCGTTACTTCCTCTTCCACTTCCCTCGTTGTGCTTTTACACTATTTGAAGACTTTGACACATTAGTCATACTGAAACAGTCACCTCATATAATGTACTCAAAAACACTGATTTGTTTTTTACCTTTCACATTGAGGCATGCTCTCAATCTGACTTTTTCATCACTGTCCACCACAGTGTAGCTACCCTCATCGGCTCCTGTAACCAAATGGAGGTTGACCCTCTTCTCGCCCCCGGTGAGGCGGTGCTTGTACTCTTGCGTGGGGATGCCGGTCTGGTTGAGAAGCAGCACAGGTGGTTCCTCTGTGGTCTGGTTAACTGGAGTATGAGCTGCAGGCCTGAACTCAAGGGTGTATGGACCAATCGAAGGGTTGATCGGGATATGATATGTGTCTCCATATTTCACCACGGTCTCCAGAGCACAGTCTAGGAGAAAAAGAGATTAGAAATACATTAAAGCTAAGGTAGGTAGTTTCTACGCTACTACTGTCATCTAGTGGAATTATGAAATTAAACCTGTTTTCAAACAAGCTCTGCTGACTGTGCTGCTGTTTTGACTACACACTGAGAAACAAAAGTATAATAATAATTCTGAATAATTCTGTGTGCTCTTCCAATCGTGATTCCATTACATAATTAAATAGATATGATACATTTTTTCATTCACTTCTATTACATTTATTTGATAGAGAAATATTTTATAATATTACAAATGTCTTTACTGTCACTTTTGATCAATTTAACGTGTTGTAGGATATCAGACCGAATCAGACAATCTAAGATTTGGTCCTTTTATAATATTACAAATGTCTTTACTGTCACTTTTGATCAATTTAACGTGTCCTTGTTGAATAAAAGTTTTTTTTTTTTATCTTACCTTGAACTTGAATGCTACTTTATCATGGTTTCCACAAAAAGTATAAAGCAGTAAAAACTGTTTTCAACATTTAAAATAATCCGAAATGTTTCTTGAGCAGCAAATCAGCATATTAGAATGATTTCTGAAGGATCATGTGACACTGAAGACTGGAGTAATGATGCTGAAAATTCAGCTTTGCGTCACAGGAATAAATTAGTTACAGTATAGAACACAGTTTTAAATTTCAGTAATATTTCACTGATCAAATAAATGCTTCCTTGGTGAGCCTAAGAGACTTCCTTCTAAAACATCAAACAATCTTCCAAACTCTGATAGTAGTGACCATAATATCCTGTCATCAGTCTATCATGAGATAATCAGATGAGTAAGTATTTATATAGTGGTATTGTAACTTATACCTCTAACAATAAGAATGATTCGTCTGACATCAGCCGGGGCCGCAGAATTCTTCACCACATATGTGCCCTCATCCTCCTCGCCCACATCCTCCAGGATCAAATGGCTGATGTGAACGTTCAGTTTGGCTCTTGGGTCCAGAATTTTCCCGTCTCGCAGGAGAACCCGCTCTAACACCGGATCCACCCTCGGCTTGAACAACACCTCTGTTGTGTCTAAAGCCGGCACCGGAATATGAACGTCCTCTCCAAAGAAAGCGGTGCGGTGTTCATCTTTAGCTGCAGAGTGAGAAAAAAGACAGATCCTTTATGTGTGGAAAAAGTAAGCTAATATAATATTCACTTATTGACTACAGAAAACTGAAAAACATACATTTGAAAAAATACATAAAATATAGACTAGCTGTACTTACTTTGTACACTTTTGAGAAAGTTTTAAAAAAGAAAAAAAAGAAGGTTCCTAAAAGAAACTTTCAGTGGATCGTTTTTAAAATAATATTTTTTGTGCGTGTGTGTGAAGAACATTTAAAAAATCCAATATTTTTTCACTATAAAGAACCTTTTGTGAAATGGAAAGGTTCCATGGTTTTAAAGGTTCTTAACAGAACC